GGGGGGGGGGGTGAACAAAGGCCTCCTGTAGCGAATCGATGCGTTTTTGCAAGAAAAATGTCGATATTTAAAACGTAATAATCACTTTAATGTAGCTTGCGCTCACTGTTGTACACTGGAAGCAGTTCCGGGCGTATGACGTATGAGGTCGGTGTTGCGCATGCGCCGCTCAGAAATGACGAACGCGGAAGTGCAACGGAGAGATCAAAACAAAACAACGGTCACTTATTAGAAGTACAAAACGAGGATTTGTAAAGAAGAATGTCGGAGCCAAGAGGAGACTGGTTTTTCTTTGCTAAAGTAAGGAAACTTTGCTTCCTTTGCTCCTGTAAACAAACTCGTGAGACTAGCATATCTCAGAGGCCACGCGCGACGCATACGCCCTAAGTCATCCGCCGGAACGGCTTCCGTGTATGACAGTCAGAGGAAGTGGGATAAAAATGTTTATTACGTTTGAAATATGGATATTTTTCTTATAAAAACGCATGGATTCGCTACAGGAGGCCTTTATTCATGCCCCGGAGCCGTGGGAGGCACGTTTTATTACGGATGCACACGCTTTATTTAATGTGTTTTGGACTGTTGAACAGAAACACCTGCCCACTACAATGATAGAGCTTAGAAGAGCCAGGACAATTTTTAATATAACTCCAAATGTATTCGTCTGAAAGAAGAAAGTCATATACACATAGGATGCCTCGAGGGTGAGTAAAACACAGGCTAATTTTAATTTTTGGGTGAACTAACCCTTTAAAGGGATAATTCAATTTGACATGTTTTGGACTGTTGAACAGAAACACCCGCCCACTGCAATGATAATGCTTGGAATAGCCAGGGCGATTTTTTTATATAACTCCGATTGGATTCATCTGAAAGAACAAAGTCATATACACCTAGGATGCCTCGAGGGTGAGTAAAACACAGGCTAATTTTAATTTTTGGGTGAACTAACCCTTTAAAGGGATAATTCACCCAGAAATTAAAGTTCTGTCATCATTTACTCAACCTTCACTTGTTCCAAACCTGTATGACTTTCTTTCTTCTGTTGAACGAAAAAGAAGATATTTTGAAGAATGTTGGTAACCAAACCGTTGACGGTGGCCACCGGCTTCCAAATGCTATGACTGTCAACTGTTTGGAAGGAATACAGGTTTGGAACAACTTTAGGTTGAGTAAATGATGACACAAGTTTTTATTTTGGATGAACTATCCCTTTCAGTTAATCCTAAACTGGTGTGGAATGACATTGATGTAGGCATTTGGATCTCAGTTATATCAAAACAATGGCAATGACAAATCATAAAAAAGTGTCCCACTTTACCTACATTCATTCTCTATATTGACGTTAAGTATAGTGTCACTGGATATTTGTTTAATATGTATTTCTTACTATTTGTAATTGTTTGTGAGGTAAATGTAATATTGATTTATTTATAAATCTACTTTAGCAGATTGCACTGATTACAACTACTGAAATGTAGTTTATGTTTGTGACATGACAGAGCTGCTGTATTGTTTATTCACTTCAGAGCATTCATGCTGCATTTATCCATCCACACTGGATGCATTTAGCACCATTCAATCCACTGACTGAGTGATCACTTCTCTCTTAGGACCCATGAGGGATGACATGATAAATAACTTCATAATCACTTACTTCTGATCACTTCCTAATCCATCTTTGTCTGGCTCCCATAAGATTTAGGCAAACATAAGATGGGCTTACTCATTTTTATTGAGGGTGGTACCAGATTTATTAAAGGAATAGTTCTACAAGTAAGTATTCTGATATTATTTACATATTATTTAATGTAATGCTATTATTATTTAATGTAAATATACATTCTGTATTATTTATTCTTTTTATTTTCATTCCAAACCTATTTTCTTTCTTCTGTAACAAAAAAATTATTTTGATCGTTTCCATACAAATATCATAGTGATGACTGTTAACCTAAGGATTTGTTAGTGAATTAAACTGATGAACTCAATAATGACTCAGTGATTCTTGAGTTAAACGTGAATTCAGTGTTATTTTAGTGTTATTTATACAATTATAGTATTTATTCTGAAACTTTTAATTTTTATATTTTGAAAGTTTTTTTTTATTTTAGTTAGTTTTAGTAAGCTTGATTTTGCTTTAGTCATTTTTTAATATCTATTTTACATTTATTTTTATTTAAGT